ATGCCACCTGCTGGCCTCTCTAGTATTGTCTTAAGAGCAGTGTGAGCAGTTTCAGAGCCTTTGTTAGGGGAACCAGCAGATGGCGTAATGGTTACGTTGTTAGACTCCCATGTAGTCCACCCTGGGTTCCAGTACAGGATACATTCTGCTTTGAACACTGCAGAGGAGAGATCAGGTGACTTAAAACTCAAGCAGGGCATTTGTGTGTGTATGTCCAAAATCCCTAGAGGAGACCGGAGGAAAAGGGATTGCGGATGGCCATCTTCCCTAGGGGATGATTTCTCACTTTCTATCTCTGTTTTTATGGTGAGCTCACATGCCCTATAACAAAACAACAACAAAAAAATCCCTAGGAGGAGGATTTGATTCAATTTAGTTATTAAAATATCATTGGCTGCTGTGGGAAAGGGGACAGGTACCATGATTAGAATGTGAGCTTAATTAGGCGATGCTATTGTAATTGTCTAGGCTGGTGTTCTCTTAATTTTTGAGTGTGTCCCGTAATACATGTGTGTTTATCATTTACAGATACGTACTTTGGTGTTGATGTAGTACATAAATCATAAAACATGAAAAAAAAAATGAGAAAAACTAACAAGGAATAGAAGTGCTACTGGTTTTTTCCCCTGCCCCAGTATATGGCAAGCTTCTGGAATCCTCGTATCCTGCTTTGAATGCTGCAGAGGAGAGATCATGGGACAGCAACCGTTTCAATGGAGATAATGGGTTTTCGGAAAAGTCGCGACACATTTTTGCATAGAAAAATATGCCTTGACTTTTTGCTGACTCTAGTTTGGAGTGAGAAATTAGGAGGTGGTATTGACAGGATTTGGAAATTGGTTAAATAGTAGGAGTAAGTGAGAAGCAAAGCTGTAAAAGAGGGTCCTGGATTTTAGGTTGTGTAATTGAGTAGGGAAGAGCTCTGGGTTGGCAAGTTAACAAATACTCTACTAAGAAGCTAGTCATGTTTGTTAAAGTAGTGCTTTATTAGAATGCGGTATTTGCTCTGAACTTACTTTTAATAATGCCTTTAGAAACAAAGGTCTGGGGCATGGTAAGGTGATTTGATGGACAGGTCTTGTGGGGCATGGGTTTCTTTTGATTTTAGAGGTGTTAGGATATGGCAGGATTGGTACGTGATAGGCCCTTAAGCTCTCGTTGTCTCTTCCAGTTACATTAGCTAGATAGTCATTCATTCCACAACTAGAAATAAATGGCTTACAGGACAGATGGTGAACTGAGTAGCATATCAAGACTGTTGCCAGTGCAGCCTAATAAATGGTCAGCAATTTAGTAGCTATTAGTAATCCTTTTCATATTTGCTTTGAAGAGAATAAAATACCATTGGGGAAGAAATACAAGAAACAAAGGAGGGAGAAATCTCAATCATTTATACAGTTTTGCCTAACATTGAGTAAAAAAAACATAGGAGACATATATGATGGCATTTTTTTGTATGTGGCTATGGATGTGTGAGCCTCCATTTCCTGAGATACATAAAGGTTTATTTTACTAAAAATGACACATATATTTTAATCAACATTTGAAATAATATTTCTGAAAATAATTTCAAAATGTCACTTTTAAAATGCCATTGCTTTTAATAAAATATACTGTTTATAATTCTCATGTCTTCCAACACAGTGGCCTGTAGTACAGTACCTTTTTTTTTTTTTTTTTTTAGAGGTTTTTGCTATAGGGTGCATGCACTCGCCAGAAAGACAGAGAGACAGACAATGAGAAATCACCCCCTAGGAGGGATGGCCACGCCACAATCCCTTCTTCATTCTCCTCTTGGGATCTTGGGCATGCACACACACCTGACATGAGTTTAAGACACTGGGTCCAGAACTTGAACCGCGGTCGACTACATGAGAGTCCAGTGGTATAGCCATTATGCTAATTGCTGGTCGCTACAGTACCTATTTTTGATATGCTGGGTCATTGAAAAAGTCAGGACACATTTTTTGCATAGAAAAACACATCATGACTTTTTTGAAACCCAATATATATATTTTTTATTGCATTCAACCATACCTCTACAGTACCTGCCTCCCTTCTGCTGTAGATACGGTAGAATGAACATATAGACATGTTTGCTTTCGCTCCTTTTAACAAAATGTATATAGTAGAATTTTACAATTATGAGGGGCATGTATGGGGGCCTTACAGATGGTCAGAATGTGAACATCAGTAATTCGGATGCTTGATGTTGTACTCAGTTACTCAACAGACTAACTTTGGAGAATACAAAACAAATTCAAACCAGTCTTTAGGCATACATTCTCTAATCTTTAGGGAAAAAATGCTGACATACAGATAATATTCCTATTACAAATTGCCTTTGGACTAACTGTTAATAGTGGAAACTTCTCATTCTCATTTAAAAAGAAAAGTAGTAATGCCAGTGGTCTATTGTAATATTATATGTAGTTATGAAATATAGTAGAGCTGATCAAATCCATGCAACCTGTGATTTGTCATCACTGTCTCACCCAAGATTTCTGTAAGTCCCTGACAATACAGAACATCTCATTGTAAAGAATGTTAAAGTGTGTGTGTGTGTGTGTGTGTGTGTGTGTGTGTGTGTCTTAAAAGATGACTTCACAGCTCATTAAGAATAAATGAACAACTGTAACAAAACTAAGGTCAGAGTAGCTGATGGAGATGGTCATTTTTCTTCTGTTGAAGATTAATACAGAAATGAAATTTTACATTTTTTGATATATTTTAACCTCCTTAATTCATGCTATCCTTTAGAAACCATCTTAAATTCTGTTAGCCCTGAGCCTATTTTAATAAGGCTAACTGTAAGAGAAATGTCCTTCCAAACGTTATATGGAACATTAGTCCTCATTCTAAAACTATGCTGAAACCCATATGTTACAAAGTTTGCTCAACCTGAACATTGAATGTTCTTTCCCATCATATTACCTCCTCCCTCCTGACACAGTGAAGAAAGGGTTAATGGCATCACTGTTAGGCAGGAAGTGCTCTTAGTCTTATGCATATGATGGAATGAATAATTTAGTATCTTCGGGAAATGCAAACTGCAGTAGCAGTCAAGCAACCAGGACAGAATTAAGATCAATATTTTGCTTGATAGTATGAAGTGAAAGTCAGTGGAAAGAAGATGCTTACAGATATCAAGTGCAAGACGATTGCTTAGTTTAAATTGTTAGAAAGATTGGGAGTTTGGGGTTGGAAATGCTTTGTCTTATGCAGTAATAATGGTCTACCTGCATTCTGACAATTGTCAGATGACTGCCAAAGTGATTGGTAATGGGATGTGGCAGTTTCTTTGCTGTCAGAGACAGGATAATTTCTCGGGTCTTTCTTGTAAGTTTCTCAAAATTATCCTTATGTTTTTCCCCTCCTTTAAATATGGATTAAAGGAACCTAACGGTAAAAACTGAAGACCAGGCATGTTTCTCTATTAATAAACATTTTATAGAAATAGCCATTCACAAACATCGGTAAGACAGATTTTTTTAAAGAAGCAGTTTAAACTTAAAATATAATTATTGAAAGTCTTCTAAATTGTTTATCTCCTTTGGAATGATCTCATTAGCTTTGTAGACATTTTATATGTATGCCTGTGGTCTTTCTATATCTTTTGTTATTGCTATAAATATTGTGCATGCAACTTTAATAATAATAGATTGGGTGGTTAAAAGTACTTAGCAGAGATGACATTTATGAATCTTATTTATTTTACAACAAAATAGCTTGTGTTTGCGACTGCTGTATGTAATATATTTAAAGCAAGATTTTAATTTAATTGGATTATGTTAAATCTAATTTCTAAAATGATAAAAATAATCTCTTGCTTATTTAAGACATTACCATTTTCAGATATGCATTCTTTCAATATAAATTGGTATGCTTCTGATTCTACTGAAATTTTTTTAGTTAGAATGAGTTGATGCAGTTAAAGGACGTAGTTTTAGGGGAAATCTAAAATACTGTCTCGTTTGCCTTTATGTGGTCTTTCTTAAGTTAATATATTTTTAACCCATTAATTGTTTCTTGGTTTATACCAATGGAAAAAGAAAATCTCAACCACGCCAAAAAGATCTTACAGAAAATTACTTATGTAAAGTATTGGATTTTATTAATGCAGTATTTAAAAATTATATATTTTTTCCATTCCAATTTTTTTTTCACCTTGATTTCAAATCAAAGTCCTTCCCCTTTTCACATATTATCACAATTTCGTTGAGTTTTTTTTCTCCTGAAAGAATTTCCTTGTGGATATTTAAATAAAATTTTAATGTAAGTAGCTAAATAAATGGCTATTTTGATGTGTCCACACGTTTTTAATAAGATACTTTGCAAGTAAATATACATATTGGAAAAGAAAAAAGAAACAGTCGAAATGTGGCTTGGTGAAACAATGAATAAAGTAGCTGATTTTTTTTTTCCAGATTCAAAGCTAACAAAGATATTCTTATTTTACATCTGTGAATATAAAATTTTCTAATTGCAGAAGGCTGCTTATAATAGCACTGGTCTTTGTCCAACCAGTAGAAAGAAATGAGTTACTCATGTTAAGTTCATCTTAACGCACGTCCCCTAATTTTTTTTCAGATGCAATTTTCCTACACAAGAGAGTAGATCTCATGAAATAGATGCTAATGGCCATAAATCTTAACTCCCTCTATTTCATCTCCATTGATTTAAAAGATAAGAATCCTCAAATGCACATTGCACTCTTTGATTTATAACTCAGGAAATAATTAAGCTATAAAGTATGTCATTTGATCTATAGCTTATTGTAGGATTTTTTCCACAAATAAGATTATAAAAATTTTTAAGAGTTTATGTTAAAGAGGATACATTTTTATTAAATTACAGAGCTTCCAGGATGGGGATCTAGATAGGACGTCTGTATAAATAAATACATTTTGAACATTTCAAAGCACCTTTTAGTTAATGTGAAGTTCTTCAGATGGCCCCAATGTCCTTTGAAGCTTCTAACACCAAGGTGTCTGTTGCAGCCCAGAGCAAGGTTACTGCTACCCAGGACAGCACTAATTTGCGATGTATTTTCTGTGGTAAGCAACATTATGTTTACATTACTTTTTCAAGCTGTGGTACATACTACTTGCACATTTCCATATCTTTTGTTTCCTTAGGCCATAGTCTGGTTTGTGGTATTTGGGATATATAGCAAGCTATTGTTTTATGTTGTGATATTTGTTGTGGTGCATGTAGGTGACTCGGTCAGCTTTTGAGTTGGCTTGTTAGCAAGGATTTATTTAGAATTAGGATCTTAAAACTATCCTTGTCCACTTCTTCCAACACAAATGAGAGGGGGTTTTTATTTTTGTTTTTACTATTTAATTTGGGAGCAAACTTTTAATTTAGAATTTAAGGAAAACTTATATCCATCCTAATGCGATTTGAGGAATGTAAATGAACCTTATTCTAAGAGAACTATTGCTTAACTTGAATTAATTTTAGGTGTGCATGTTGTGAAGTGGAGGTGTAAGATATTACTTGAGGTAGTAGATAGATTTCTGATTGATAGCCTCCTTTTATAGTAGGTTAGATATCTGGCTGAGGAGTGAATCTAGGCTTATGGAGTGTTTTCTTTCACTCTCACGTTCATATACACACATGTGCACATATGTATTGTTTGCATGGACAAGCCAGGTATATCGTTCAGCCACCTCAAATTAGCGATTTTGATAAATACATATCCTTATCCTTACACAAGAGGATCTATCCATCCATAGGTAGGTAGGAAGATATAGGAGATATATCATCGTTTGAATTATTTTTTTATCTCCGTTTGATTCTGAAACTTTCTGTTTTGAAAACCCAAGTTCCAGAAAGTGACTGAATTGTTTGAGCCTTTTTTGACTCATGTACACTTGGACAAGCCAGGTTATTTTGTGAGAAAGATAGAGTTATAAAATGATATCCTGCTAAAATTTTATACAAACAGTTCAGTTATGCATATGTACTTTATCTATGTGATTCAGAATTTTTAATGTAATTCCTCAGAATTGTTTCTTTACCTATAAAGGAAATAATTTTTAAATTTATGTGTTTCCTGGTTAACAGAGAACCATGTGTTTTTAATTTTTTTAAAAAATTGAAAAAGAGAAGAAAATTCTAATAATAACGGGTTTTTAATCACTTTAACATATTTTAGGATTGCTCCAAGTGTTGTAATTACAGCCGTGAGCCTATTTTTTGACGTTTTATAAATTCCCCCTTCTCCCTCCCAGATTCCACAATTAAATATTGCAGATTGTTCAGTGAGTAACTTTTAGTTCTGATTTTTCTGCCTCCTTCTGGGGGGTTCTTCCAGGGCCATCTTTTGAACTAACCATGAGAGGCTATTGTAATTTGTCTCGTAAGAACTCTGTTTAGCTCATTTTGAAAAAAAACTACTTAATGTTCTGTGCCTTTCTACTTAATATGTTGAGGTCCACATGTAGAATAACAGTTTACCCAATTGCAGCGAAAAGATTGATTTGGCCTTAATAAAGGTGACTTTTTAAATTTGTAAAATAATGTATTAAAAAACAGATCCCCCCATTATTACATTTAACTGTGTGCAAACAATATAATTACCACTTTGCTAAGTTTAAACTTGATTGTATTGTGTATAATAACACCTACTGTCTTTTTAGTCCTGTGTTTTTAAATAGTCTGTGGCTAAGTGTGAAACTAGATTTGTGAAAGTGAAAATGTAGCAGTAACTGAAATATGCTTTAGCCAAGATTCAATATTGAAGGCAAGACTGAAATGCCTTTCTTGTTATAAAGATTCGAGTTTTATTTCCATCATTAATAGAATGCTATTTGTATCAATGACATTGCTGCATTTTCTTTATTAGAAATGTTAATTCACAAACTTTGCTGTTTATCTTCTAATAGCCAGAACACATCAGCATCCACCATCGTCTTTGGCTATGGTAGTAAAACAGGAGAGAACTAATCTTCAAATTGCTTGTTCTTTATAATAACATAGTAGGAACAAAACAGGCTCACTTGTTTTGTAATCGTGGTTTGTTTCTCTATTACCCAAAAGAAAACTGTTCACCACCACATGACGACTCATAAAATACTGTCATTTGCCCACTGAAATGGTTATGAAGATACCCATTTGCATTTTATGTGAACACAAGTAATGTTTAGGATGTGAAGTAATAGTTACATTCCAGAAAATACGGGGGCAGCTGACAGCCTTGCCTAATCTTAGTTGCTGCTTCATGTTGTATGTGGTGCTTTTGGTATTATTTACCAGTTTTATATACCCCATTAGAATGTTTGACAAGAGGGGAAAATGTAATTGTGTACCTGACGTTCAGAATTCACTCAGAATTCTATTTAATGCTTACACTATGTTTAGTTCTTAAATGCACATACATTTCAATGTGCTAGTTAATATAACTTGACAATATTGATAAGGAATAATAAATAGTACAACCGGATTAAATACAGATGTGAGAAAATGCCAAGGGCAACCCCCTAAACATGCAGCCCATTCAAAGAATGTCTGAAAAAACAAATAGCCAAAAATCTTGGATCAAAATTCTCCCCATTTAAAAATACTTCCCTTAAAGTTTTTTTGTTTCTTCTCAGATGCAAGAATGAATTATACAGACTCCTTCTATAATTAATTATATCAGCCACAAAATATTACCCATATTGTCTAAAAACCTCTTTTCTAGACAGGTTTGCTGAGTAACCTTTTAAAAAGCTATTTAAAAATAAAAAACAAGTTCTGTAAATTACCAAAAGATTTTTCCTGTACAGTTTGTTCTGTGAGTTGGACCAAACTTGTGTTCATTTTTTTAAAAACTTGTTTAATAAAACATAGGGTTAGATTGAAATTTTGGTATCTTTTTCTTGAACTTGACATATTTGAGTTAAAGTTTAGATTTTAATTGGTTAGTTTAATCCATTAATATTATTGTAAAGATTTAACGCCTGTCTCTTTGAGATAGATACCAAGCGAGTCTAACCTATGGACACTGACCATTTTATTTATTTAAATACCTAAGGTTTTCACTTAAATACTCAAATAAATATTGTCTTAAAAACCAGTTAAACCATAATGATCTTGTGACTTGCCCATGATAAATGCTTGCAATTAATTATTTCAGATAAATATAACTTTAGATGTATAATGTACACACCTTAAGTATTTTATACTTTCTTAAATTTACCCTTTCTGCTTTGTGTGTTCCCAGCCTTCTCCCAGAAGAGAGATCTGTTCCCTATACAGTATTAATATTAGCGTGTGGGCTGATACGACAGTCTTTTTACATCATCCATGTTAATTTCCCAGGGAAGGAATCCCAGTCTTGTTTATTAGACAGCAGTTATGTATTTTCATTTATGCAAACATTTACGTGTGTATTTAATTTTAATTTCAAAAGCTTTTTGGGTTTTTTGTTGTTGTTACTGATTATATGGAGTTAATAGCTTTTTATTTTTCCTTTGTTTGGTTTTCAAAATAAAAGCCTGTTAGGAAATCTAATAAAATATATCACTGCAATTGTCATCTAATTTGTCTTTAGAGGGCAAATTAAATGATTAATCTAGAAACATGTATAGAAGAGGTGAGGAAAAATTTTAGTAGGTAAGTTCAGATCACTTATTTCCGTTGCTCTACACTTGGGATACACCAGTAATATATTATATCCTAACGAACCTTTGCTTCTGGTTGTGAAGTCTACTCCACTAGTATGAAATAAATACTTTCTTGCTGTTGACTCATAGATTATAAGAATTTGCCTCAGTACACAGAAACATTTATTTAGTAACTTTTTTATACTAGTTGGCTACAAAAACCTTTCCGAATATTTGCTGGCACACTAGAGTTCACAAATACATTTATTATTACTCACATATTCCTTTCACGAGTAGAAGATAACTAATATTTATTGTTTACTGAACTAGATTTCAGAATTGTTCTGTTTTACCCATAGGCATTGTATATTATTAGGTCCAGTACTTATCTCATTTTGTGACACTTTTTTTTTTTTTTTTATATCTAGGTACACTAAGATTTCCCATAATTTAGTGGCATTCTATCTCACTTGCTAAAAATGGATCTACATTGTACATGATTATGTGGGGATGGATGGTCATTAGTTTCTCATGACAGGACCGTGTTGGTGTGAATGCAGGTTTTTTGTTTTTTTTTTCCTCTCTCTCTTCTTACCCAATGAAAAGTTGATTACCTCTGTTACATTAAAAATACAGATAAGTAGATTAATTATTATATGGAAGTTTAGCAAATGTTTGTTTTCATCAGTACTGGAAACGGCAGGCCGTTAAACAAAAAGGGCAGCTTAAATTGGGCAAATTTGATAAATGCGTTAGCATACTTCAGTCTAGTAATAAGGTTCTCATGCTCTCTCTCTCCTGTTTTTCATTTCCAGTGTTCTATTTAGGTGAGTTTTTGAATTCTGATTTTTCATTTAAGTTCTCCCGCTCCACTTCATGAGTAATTACCCTAAAGAGAATGTCTCATTGTCTTAGAAAATGTCAAGCTTAGGTGCCTATTCAGATGCTCATTGAACACTTGTTTTTACTCAAGCTCTTCATATATAAATGTTTATTTTTCCTTTATTGTTGATGTTTTCCATTTGTTTCAAGTAAGCCTTCTGGAGATAATGACAGTATTATGTTGCAGTCTTTCATTTGCTGTGTGTTATGTAAAGCTTATATTTTATTTTGCTAGACAAAAAGAAGATACATTTGTAAATATGTGATGGTTTTATGTTATTCTCATGATTTTATCCCCTTTATATCCAGCTAAATAGAAAGATAATGTTCATCTGTAATGTTTTCCTCCCTTTATAGGGCCAACATTGCCTAGACAAAACTCACAACTACCTGCCCAAGTTCAAAATGGCCCATCTCAAGAAGAATTGGAAATTCAAAGAAGGTAAATTTACACATTATTATTTACACTTCCTCTTTTCTACTATAGAAGACCAAATCATGAGCATCCTAACACTAAAAGTAGACTGTTTGAAATTCACTGTTTTTATTATTTTATATTTGTAAGTTTTGAACTCATCATTAAGTGACCAAATTTTTGTTATGCTGGATACAAGATGTTGTAGGATTTCATACCTGATTTTTTTGAGAAAATCATACTTGTGGTATGCTGAAAATATTTTAAATACAATTCCAGGACTCGAACCGCAGTCGTTGACCATGTGGGAATCCAGCACCTTAACCTTCACGCCACCTGCGGGCGCATTATTTTAAATACAATTGACAGCATAAAAATGTCTTTACACTGTAAGAAGACTTATTTTTAGAATAATAATCTATGACCAGTATAGTTTTCACATAGCTAATTCAACTAGAAAGTTGAAATATAATGTTGGATGATTCTATATGGCATTGGTATTGAGATATTACCATAGGGTTTAATATAAGAATACAGAATTATTCTGTTCATGATTAAAGCTGGTTGAATGAGGTCAATAACTTTATCATTCCAGTACAGTCGAGAAATACACTTGGGGACTAGTAGTTGGCATAATGACTTTATCGCTGGACTCCCATGTAGTCGACCATGGTTCATGTCCCGGACCTTGTGGCTTAAATGCAGGCCAGGCACATGTGCATGCGTGCCCAAGATCCCAAGAGGAGAATAGAGGAGAAGGGATTGTGGTGTGGCCATCTCCCCTGGGTGGGGGGTGGTGATTTCTCGCTTTCTGTCTCTGTCTTTCTGGTGAGCGCCTGTGCCCTATAGCAAAAACCTCTCTTAAAAAGAAAGAAATACACTTGAAATTAGAATACAGCTTTGTTTAGAGATAGTTTTTCCCTTTATTAGCAGAATCTGAATGAGCTAGTTAAACCAGGTGTTGCATTTCTAAAGGAAAGGAAAACTTTTGTCCTCGTTGCTTTTTATAACTGATGAGTCACCAGTGTTTAGTTCTGGAGAGCTGCTGATCATGGTTGGCTGAGCTTTTGTGCAGATGATTTTTCTTATTGAGAAACATTTGCTCTGTGGTACACCAGGATTCTTATTGTAACTTTTGATTTGGATTTCATATTTGAAAATATTTGTGTTTTGCACAGTACCTTCATGTGTGTGTCATGTTTCCTTAGCAGACAGTACATGATATCTCTTGTATGGTTCATTCAGTTGCTTTGGAGTATAACTAGTAAGCTCTTAGGGAAGACCCTGAAGGATATCCCGAACTAGATTTTGTTTTTGCCTATTGAGCCCCTGTATTTTTTTATTCAATCAGAGCATTCCAGAAAATAGCCTCTAAATTTGGTGAAAATCCATCCATTCTTTTGAGTGATGCTGCACAGATACAAATAAGGTTAAATTTAAAGGATGTAATCATTTCATATTAAGAGTTTTAAACATACCAGAATAGTCCTAAAAATGAGAAATTAGATTATTATAGTGCATGTACACACAAACAAAAGAACAGGAAAGTAATTAATAAAAAATGGTTATAATATTATTAAGAGTAATAAGTTGGAGATAACTAGGAAGAGCCAGAAGAGAAAGAAAATATAATAGGTAAACTCTGGTAGTAGAGATTGGGCAAGCAATTTCTGAGAAAGTTGCTGAACAGGAACAGAAGCTAAGGTTATTGCTGGCTTATTAAAGAGCACAGATAGGCGATCCACTGCACAGAGTTGCTGAGACTGCGTAGCTTGCAATTTTAAATTAGATAGGGATATAGAGTGAGTTTTTAGTAATTGTTAATTAATACCCCATGTGTCATGTAGATTATTTCTCCCATCAAAGTGCCATCCCTATCAGTGCTCATAGGGACTTGAGGTTTTCTGTTTGTTTGCTAAGTAGATATTTCTAGAGAGTCTGAAAATAGTTTGTTTTATATTGGGGATATTGGGGCCAGACAGTTGGCACAGTGATAAGATGCCACACTCTGAGGCAGACCCATATGAGAAGGTTCCATGTTCGTGTCCAGAGGCCTCCCTGAGTATACTGGACATGTGTGCCTATGATCAGGACTGAGGCATCAAGACCCTGTTGGGGATGCTGTCTTTTTGTCTTTCTCTCTTTCTGTATCTCTCTCATTCATGGAAGAAATAAACTTAATTAAAAAAATCAAGGATGTTGCTTATACTGCCTAATTATTTATCTGAAGACTTTAACTCAGTCATTTTGAAGTATGAAATACAAATTCCTTTTTAAAAGTATGAATTTTTAAATTTTCTGCTTATAGTCATGTATAAGACCCATCTTTCTTGTGGATAAGACTTCCATTAAACAGTAATCTATTTCTTTCATCCTCTCTTTACTCTTTACCCATTTCCTTTTTATTTATTTATTTATTTGGAGAGGGTTTTTTTTTTTGCTATAGGGTGCGTATGCCTGCCAGACAGACAGAGAGACATAAAGTGAGAAATCACTCCTCCCCCCCGGGGCGGGGGCGGGGGAATGGCCATGCCACAATCCCTTCTCCATTCTCCTCTCGGGATCTTGGGCACGCACATACATGCGCCCGGTGTGAGTTTTAAGCCACCGGGTCCGGGACTTAAACCGTGGTCGACTACGTGGGAGTCCAGCAACACAGCCATTACGCTAACTGCTGGTCCCCTCATTCCTTTTTATCTTGGGAAATCTGCTTTTTGTCTCCATAAATGTACTGGATATGCTGCTTCCATCATTGACTTACTTCTGGTTTAGATTTCTTCACTTAGTTCTCACTTGCCATTTCTGTCTTCCTTTGGTAGCAGAAATTCTTCTTATTGCCAGCTCTTTTCCCTCTCTATTTCTGTGTCTCTTCTTATATAACTCTTTGGTTTTGTACCAGGTATGTTTCTTTGGTGGTGGTTATTGTTTGTTGTTGTTGTTTTTTCCTTTCTGTACATAGCATATACCCTTTGGAAAATTGATTTGGTTGAAGATCAAGATGTACTTTTAACCCTTTCTTCTTTGCTAATAACTTTCAGATCTGTATCTCCAAATATGATCATCCACTTGAGAAATAGACTCAGCTAAATAATGTCATAAGCCCCCAGTGTGTCTCTCAAAGTTCATGTGTTGGAAACTCAGTTCCTAGTGCAGTAGTGTTGAGATGTGGGATCTTTAAGAGGGGATTAGGTCATACGAGCTCTACCTTCATGAGTGGATTAATGACCTATTGCAAGAGTGTGGGTTAGTTACTAAAAGTGAGCTTCTTTTAAGAGTTTGACCCTTGCTTGCTAGCTATCTTGCCCTTCTACTTAATGCCATGGGATGTTGCAGCAAGGCCCGCACCAGATGTGGCCTCCACCTTTAACTTCCAAGCCTTCAGAACTATAAAATAAATTTCTTTGTGGTAATCTGTTTCAGCAGCACAAAATGTACTAAGACTGACCCTTTTTGAGAATGACATGAAAGCAAAGGATTGACTATTGCCTTACCTTGTCCAGCCCCCAGACCTTCAAATAGTTGAGTAAACATATACAAAAACTTGCATACTGTTTCAGAGAATCTCAAATCCCCTGAATTCCAGCAGTGGCTCCTTGATGAGAATTTCTCTTGTAGAGCTCATCCATTTGGATACCCTACTGACATCTCAGATTAAACTCTTATGATTTCATCTATAATGTACAGTCAGCCCTTTAATATTTCTCTCAAATTTTCAGCCTAGAAGCTCTCCAGTTATCATCAGATAACTATAGCTATTGACTATAGCTATTGAAGTATATCATATTTTTTGTTTTTTAAATAATTATTTTATTTAACTTTATTTAAGTTTGACCAGAGTGGGACGGAATGAGAGAGAGAGAGAGAGAAAACAAAAAAGCAAGCCAAGCTACTAGGTATGGGACTTGAACCACAGTCGGCCATGTGGAAGTCCAGCTCCCCATAACCACGACACCACCTATTGGTCCCAAGTATATCTTATTTTTTTCTCTAACAGCTTGTTAGAATTATTATGTATAACATTCTTGTTAAGAGTTTCTTCAGTATTTATTCTTTTTTTGTACTGCTGTAGTTTTCTAGTTGATTTCTTATTTTAAATGAGAGTGAAAATGCGGTATTTTTGACAAGGTCTTGCCAGGTCACCGTCATTCCTGCCTTTCTGTCATTTAGGTAAGACCACAGGTGCACATCACTGTACCTGGCCTGTTTAGATTGTTCTGGGAACCGAACCCAGGCCTCCCATGGGTCCCTTTTCTTGTAGCGGTGCTGCCCTGCTTGTGGTGCCATGGCTGACCCACACTTGATTTTTCTCTCTTTAGTCTAGATGCCTTTCAGTTCTTTCTGTTGCCAAGTTAATTAACTTTTCTTAAATTCTTTTGAACATGGCATGGAACACCTCAGACAGTATGGAAGGGCATAAAGTGGGTTGAAAATACTGCTGCATGTTGACCGTGGTTCGCATCCCGGACCTGGTGGCTTAAAACTCATGCCGGGCATATGTGCATGCATGCCCAAGATCCCAAGAGGAGAATGGAGGAGAAGGGATTGCGGCGTGGCCACCCACCCTGGGGGGGTGATTTCTCACTTTCTGTCTCTCTGTCTGGCGTGCGCACATGCCCTATAGAAAAAACCTCCCCTCCCCCCCAAAAAATACTGCTGCATTATTATGTCCTTCCCCTCATTCTAATCCCCAGAAAGGGAAAATGAGAAATCATCTCCCAGGGAGAATGGCCATGCTGCAGTCCCCTCTCTTCCATTCTCCTCCTGGGATTTTGGGCACACATGTGCCTGGTGTGATTTTCAACCTGCCAGGTCTGGGACTTAAAGCGTGGTCGGCCATGTGGTAATCCAGCACCTTAACCACTATGCCACCTGCTGGCCCCAGTTCTTGCTGTGCTCATTTCTCCCCAGCTTGATTATTGTACTCTCCATCTTCCTCTCGCTACCTGCTGACCTCAAATTAGATCTTTCCCCAGTTTCTCTTTTCTTGTCTACTTCAGCCATTTTCAGTATGTATTTTAGAGTGTGAT